AAAAACATTCTCTTTAACACACACAAAACATTGTATTTGCCATCAAAATTTAGCTGAACATCTCTTTGACGTATATTTCTCCAAAAAGAAGGTGCTCTGCTGAATGGCCCGTGTAGTCAGAGGGGTTGATGTGCCATCATTGCTCACTGATTGAGACTCTCAGCGCGAGAGGATCTGAGTCAATAGACTCACGGCTCGCTCACAGATTAGACATCTAATCAAATTCAGCCCCGTGTGTTTATCGCTCGCTGTTGTTGGCTATGTGGATGTCAGTGTGGAACGCTCCACAGCTGTGACAAAACTAGGACACATCACATAATGCCCATACGCTCATGAACCCAGACTTTTTTCATGCAAAGTGATGCTCTATGTGTATCATGAGATATAGGTTTTATAAGGCTTTCCTAATTGTTGTTGATAAAAACTGATTTAGTTTTAAGTCCCTATAACTTAGAATTCGACTTTGAGAAAATATGTGTCTTATATGCAAATGATGGCAAAGAACAACTATTCACACAATGATTGCAATCGTAATCGTAATATAAAGCCACTTTAACTAACACAATGAAGATTAACACACACACAAACAAATTCAAACAGCTGACGGCATTGTCAGACACTGCAACACGTCTGAAACATAATACACTTCTTCTTTAATCGTAAAAGCGTATAACCAGCCAGTGCTAAACGCTTCCAGCTAATTTCTAATTTGTTCGTAATTGCACCGAGACAAGTAAACCATTGCACAGTGAGAAGTTATTTCCTGGAGCTGGACGGCTAAATTACAGGCAAATGTTTCATGCGATTAGGACACTCTAATTGAACATGTGACAAAGAATAGAGCTGCCTGTCTAACGCAGAAGTGCATCAAGTGGAGAAAACTGGTATTTACATTGGTTACATGCATTCTTTATGCTTTAATCACAGTGAATTCCTTTTTGATTATTGCATCCCGCCAAATTGCTATATATTTGTTTTTCTTTCCATCACAAGAGAGTGAAAATTAGTCATGGCCTCATTGTAACTGATCTCCTTTGGACGCCTCGATCAATGCACCGGTCACATATCTCTCCTCAGCTGAGCTCTACATAAGAGTCAGCGCTGTGTGTGTGAAGTGCTGCCCCTGCACTGTGGCGTCTGTGTGTGTTTTATTAGTATTGCACTTGTGCATGTTTGCTGTAGGTTTAGCCCCGACTGCACCTGCCAGACCTGCATACACACACTACAAATTATAGCACTCGTTCCTTTCTCTCGCTCACACTCTCACCGCTCTGTTCTAAAAAGCTTACAGTCATTTCTGAAATCGTTAGTAGCCTATACAGCTGAAATCATTACCTGTATGTTTCTAATGGGGTCATTACCGAGGTGGCCCTGCAGCCGGCCTCTAATCGCTAGCATGTTATGGGGCAGCTGCTTCTAAAACACTTGTTTCTCTGTGCTACATTCCGGCATGCAGGCGTCAACTGCGAAAGAACAGAGCGAGACCCTATAAATCAGGTGTGTTTTGTGAAACGGTGAGTGTTTTAGTATATTTACGAATGCGGAAATGTTTTTAACTTGCACTTTTTTTGTGGGGCCAAGTGCAATTCCTGTATTGTTCAATGTCATCGCTGCATATTTGGTTAGATTTGCAACATTTAAAAATAGAATGTATCGTGCCATTGCACGCAAGGGATTTTGGGATGGTTTGGAGAGATTTTTTTTTTTACCTAAAGCTTGGGGGTCTGGACTTCATTAGTCTGACCCCCCTTCTCACCCCACCCCCCCTCCCCCAAGTGGACAAAACAGAGGCGACATATTTCACTTTGCCAGGTTTTACAGTGTAGGGGTACAGAATCGGTGAAAGGGTCAATCGAAATCTGTTCCCCAGCTGTGCAGCCCTCTCACGCACCCCTAGGCCCAGAGAGAATGAAAGAGAGAGAGAAATGCTCGGGGGGAGATGGACCCCACAAACGTACCCCCGAGCTGCCTGAGCATCACAAACCTGTTCAGCCAACTCCAACTACATCAATCCAGTTTGTGTAGGAATGCAAACAAGTTAAAACCGAATGAAAATATACACAGTGTTTCTGAATTGTGATTAGATATTAAAATAATGTGGGTAATAAGTATGGGATCATGCACAGATCCTCATTTCTGAAGAGCTAAAATTCAATGCATGTGTTCGAATAATGATTTTCCTTCACAACATTGACAGCACAAATCCAAAAAAAGGTTGCACTTTCCACCAAGCTCAGCCCTGGACACCTACCTATCACCACCACAGCCAACACATGGTATTATTTACAGGATCACATGAAAGTTCCCAATCAAATTAAGCTCTCACTTTTGCTTCTTTCGTCCAGATTCACTCACTTTATTGTGTCTTCAGAGAACACACTTTACTACACCCATACCCATAAAACCCATACCCATCAGTGTATATTTGAGATTCAAATAGAGCAAAAAATGTGTTGCAAAAATGCACTAGGATGAATTAAAACGAGTGTGAAAGGGAGAGAAAGAAACTGAGGAAGAGGAGATCTTTAAGGTAGCAGAAGATGTGCTTGTGTTTTTGCCTGACAGTTAACTGAATCATTCGCATAATACTAACAAATGAAAGATTATAACAGCTATATGTTAGGCAAAATTAAAATAATAACAATGATAAATAAATAAGAAAACATTTTAATAATTTAAGTCGCCTTTTTAAATCTTTTAGTCTTAATTTAAGATGGCATCATGACACGTTCGCTTGGTTTGCGTTTGTAAGGAGCGCGGGGAAATTTTGTGTTGTGTATGAGGCTGATAATTGGCTAGAGCAAATTATTTATTATGAGGGAACCTGTTTTGCCAATTACTTTTTTTTTGGAGGGCTGCTATATGATGAAAAAACACTGTTCTTTCATACACTCCATTTATAACTTCCTGCATGACTATGAAATGCGCGTGAAATTTTGACCGATTCTTTTTTTTTAAATAATTAAATAAATGCACGTTTTTTTCTTGTTACATTGCTTATATGTTTGGGACTTTTTGTATGCTATGCAGTGCAGCTTATATGCAACGCGACTTTTTTCTCCACCAAGTCAATAATTCAGGATGTGAGTTTTTATCTCATGTAGGGTAATTAGATGCCCAAAGACTTTGCTTTTTTGTCTCTAATTAATATCAGAATAAAACATCAGCAGTTTGGTCAGCAAATACTGGTGATCTACAAGGTGCTCGCGACTTTTCAATGTTAGCGAAACTAAAGGCTGCGGATGGGCAGGTGATTTTGGCCACTTGCACATGGCAGCTGACTTCCGCTGTAAGTTTAGAACATCTCCTTTATCCAGCCTACACAATATGCAATATTAATATACCGAGGGGATTTATCTCCGAGCGTATTTAAGGGAATCGCGAAAACATGTAAACGCAGCAGATCTCTCTCTGTATTACACGTTTTAATGAACAGTAAAATTATTTGTACATTAAAAAATTATGTCCTGAAGACGTTTTGATTTCAGGATGCATCCTTTTTCACACACTAGCAGAAAATAACCCGTCTCATTAAGTGTGTTTTTGCTCACTTTAGTAGGCTATTTATATATGCTACATATAAACATAAAATCGCAATTATTTATTAATTAATTTTAGCCCACGCGTTGGGTAATGCTTGATGCAGCAAATTAAATTTATATAATAAATAAAAACACAAAGTTTTCTTACAAACTCAAATATCCCCAAAAACAAAGACACTAAATGAGCAAATACAATATTCCCCAAGTTCTCGCCTGTTCTCTCTGTGCGTTTATTAAGTGACTTTTTTATTTATTTTGGCCCTAAAACACACGTGTATTTTCAAAAAAAAAAAAAAAAGTCCTTTACTTATTATTCCATTAATATGCTACTATTTTTTAAGAATTAGTGTGAAGGCTCCCTGTTCTTTCCGCTCCCATTTTCTCTGCTTCTATATTTTCATAACAATTATAACATGATATCACGGCCTATGTAATAATCATTTTGAGCTGTTTTGGGGAAATTAAATGCTCAAACTAATTTGTGTCCCTCTGCGTAAAACTTCTGCAAGCCAACTTGAGTCTAACCTACAAGTATTTCTCAAAATCCCAGGTCTCTCTTTGAAGGGTGAGACAGAACAGTATACATTTCCTCAGTTTCAACATCATTCTTGGAACCAGGGGACAGTACATGCGGAGGAACTCGTTGTCCAAAAACTTTGTTCAAGCGCAAATGGTTTATTTTGTATGCATTATTAGTGAAATAGAAAGACACGCTGTGGTACGTAAGCTTGACTTTTCTCTATTTTTTAAACAGGCCTAATAGTTTTGTCTATGGCCGCGCAATAACCTCACAAACTGCACTTTTGCACTTTGAGCATGTTTTAACATCACATAAATTAGATAAATCAGAATAAATGATTTAAGATGAATTTGAATCACCTAGGCCTATAGGAAATTGCAAACGCGCTCAATGTAGGCTATTGCATATTTGAGTTACAAACATAAACTATAAACTCAGGCTCGTCATTGATTCTCACTAGACATGTCCCCTGCGATGCACGTGAACCATCATTAGATGAGTGCGATTTTGAAATATCGATATTTTCAGAGTTAACAAAATGGCATGAGCGGGACATTCCTACACAAGACAAACTGAAAGATCTCCAGCTCTCTTTCAACCACAAAGAAATCAGGTAGAACAATGTTTTCTCATGTGTGGCAGGCAGTGTAACCAGAGTACGCCTTTCTGGAGCGGCGCGAGTGGCTTTTTCTTCAGCGCGTAACGATGCGCCATCAGATTTCAACACGTCTACAACTAACTAACAGCTGACAAACTGATTTAAGAACGACCGTGTTACGTGCGACGTCCATGTACGAGCACTTCTAGATTCAATACAATTGATTTCGAAACACTTCTGACTGTGGCCAAGCGCTTCCTCTAACGCGCATCGGACGCTCCGTTTCACGCACCCAACTACTTGGAATATAAACAACTTGGAGCTTGTTGGTGGTGTTTACCTTTGCGCGGCTGTGTTGGCATCCAGTATCCCCGCGCTCTGCATCCAAGAGCGCACCGGCGTCATGCCACTCGTAAGGGGCTCTTCTTTCATGGTCAAGGCTCCCCGTGGGAGACCGTCCTGGATGGAGAACATGAAAATAGCCTTCTGGGGGATGTCTCTCTACACCAGCTCGAGTGGAATAATCCTCCTGCACCACCTGGATTAACAAAAACCAGCTGAAAGGGAAAAAATCTTCCCCAAAGTGCAACAAGGGGAAAGAGGTCCTTATCCAAAGACGCGCTGCCGTATCCCTTTGGGTGTTCCTCTTTCTTTTAGATTCCAAACCCAAGTTCAGTTCACTCAAGATTAACAGGTCTCTAGTTAAAAGAGGGTGGAGAGAAGGCAAGAGCTGTGGAGCATCTCAAAGGAAACGATCAGCCGGGATCAAGCAGACCTTTTCGTCGCGGGGAGAAAGAGGGGAGAACGCGAACTTGCTCTGAAGAAGAAGGCGAACAGACGCGCACGGGATTGTGAAATGAAAAGTGGGATAAAACGGGCGACTGCTTCAAAAAGGAGTAAAATGAAATGATTACCAAACAAGAGGGAGGGATGGACCAGGGAAGGCTTGCTGTCCCTGGGGAAAAGAGGGATTGGGTAGCAAGAAATCTCATTCCCTCCCTCCCCGTCTCTTTATGCCTCTTCTGTCCCAGCGGAGCGCACCTTCTCTCGGGTTCCGCGGTTTCAGCGCTCTCTGGGGGGACATGCGTGGACTTGACGAGGGCGGAGACTTGCCCTTAAAAGGCAAAGTAATTTACATGTCAATCTCCGTTCTGAGCTCTGATTGGTCGCGATCATCCCTTGCGTCATTTTCAAAATTCGCCGCAAAAACTCAGCTGATGTTAGAGGGACTGAACGCACTGGCAGTGGAAGTGGTCTCATGCTTTCCCGATTTAACCTGAAACATGCCCTTAATACCCAGGAACATTCACGATGCATTTCATATGCCTAGCATGATTAAAGCATAATCGACTAGGTATAGCATATCGTTTTCCAGAAGTCAAATCTGTCTAAAAGTTCAGCCGGTATGATTAGAAATTCTAACCATTAGCCTAACTGAACGCGAATCCAAAGCTTTCACAGTAGGTACTATACTATACGTTCCCTGGTACTCAATGGTGTTTCCACAGATGACAAAGCGAAGTAATATTCCATAACACTGTCAAACATCTCTTTTTTTGTAAAACCGTGAGGAATCAAGCTGTCCTCCTGACTGGAATATGTTGCCTGTTTAACATAGGCTACTCAATTGATGAATTGGAAGAAATATTCAAATATGACAAACCACGGGGTGATTTGTAAATGCATTAACTGATAATAATATTATAATATGAATTATGATTAATATTATTAGTTATTATTAACAGCCTGCGTGCAATACAAATATAAAATACATCAGATCAATTATATTAAGAACAATTATTATATAGCTAATTTAAGTCAATTGTATCGAGTAATTAGAGCTTTTGCTTATACACAATATAACCCCCCAAAAAAATCTGAATTGTGCACACTCGCATTGTATTAAGGATTTCTAGTGTTCTTTGGCATTATTTTGAATTCCACCAAATGACGCCTGATTAAATATTTATTACATATAGCCCCCCAGAGCTCAGAGCGGGAAAACGACCCCATGAGGATGGAAACTCAATTTAATCTTAAAGTTAAAAAGGTGACTAAAGCAAACAGTCCTCTTATCGCAACAACAATGCAGTCATTTCCCTCAGATTCTTCATTTCACACATTATTATTTTATTATTATTATTATTAATTATGTGGGCCCATGTTTGTAATTATTTTGCTAAAGCATCCTCACTTATCATTCTTCTTGCTTATACAGGTTGAAAACGAAATCTTGCTTATACACTTCACACTCAAAGACAAAATACTCGAAGCGGTACAAAAGCAGCCGGTGTTTTTGAAAGACAAGTCCAACACGATCCCCGTCTGCCCTGAACGGACACGAATGGATCATGAACCCAGTCCACTAATAAAATATTCTATTTTGTTCAGTATTTGAGAGGTTGACGGTAAATGGTCGCAGTCATCAGAAACTTGTTACGTTGTGAAACATGCTGAAACTAAAACATACAAGACTATTTAGGCATGCCTATTAAAATATTTTCTATTCTATGTTTTAGAAGAGGCTGAAGGGTCAACTCCCAAAGCCCAGCATCTGCAACATCGTGTTAACTTCCAAACTAACACATTATGTTACACAAGACCAGAACATCTGTAAAGATTCACTAAAATGTCTCATGATGCGCTTTGCGCAACTCTCCCGGACAGCGATATAATATTTCTGCGACATCTGAGGTCTCGGAAGCCCTAGATGTTTAAAACGATATAAAGCCGTATTTGGTCAGTTGCTTTCATTGTTTGGCAGTTCTCTATGTCCATGGCGACAAGAACATGCAATTTTTACTCTTTTAGCCCTATAATATTTTGTATTCCGCGGAAAGGAACGCCGTCACATTGTAAAGCATCGTGTAAGTTATTTTAACAGCACAGGCCGGTTGTAAGACTGTGTCTTGCTATTGGAGTATAATATTCATTGATCCAATATAACACTTCTACAAACACTTTCATATACTTGCATTGTACTTGCATTGTAGTTCGGAGCGCACAAATGATCAAATATTCCCGGACATATTTAGGGGGGAAAAAATCTAGATATTTTGGATTAGGCTAAATCTAATAACGGAATAAATTACAACTAAAATGTATCTATCTCACGAAGGATGACCTAAAAAATGAGAGAGAGAAAAACATATCTTGTCTTTGCACACAGTTTCAAAGTTAATTGAAGTTCTAATATATCAGTCTTTCTGTCAGATTCAAGCGGTTGTTTCCACCTAGTGGCCATCAATAAATAAAATAAAACATTAAAATAAATAAAAATAAAAAGCAAGCAATGTTTCTTGTCAGGAAATTCATCATATCAAATAATCATGAAATTAGTTTGAGCATTTATAACTTTCTTGATGGTGTTCTTTCTCAAGAGAAATTCTTTATCTCTCATTATCTATTTCTTTTTTTTTTTTATCTCGCTCCCTTCAAAAGATGGTCTCCTGCAATCTTTTGGATCACAGATCCATTAAATGTGAAATGATTGATTGATATTAAATTAGGACCTCAAGAGTTTAAATATAAATTACTGGTATTTTCTCAGATCAGAGATTAGGCGGCTTGCACAAGCACTTTATATGGGTCATGAATTAAATAAATAAAGCACAACAGAAAATGTGTCTTAGAAGATCACAATACCAAATCAGCTATGTGGTCATTCATAAAAGCACAAGACTCAGTTATAGAAAAACTAACATACAATAAAATTGACTGTTTAGAAACAGGCTAAGCAATCATAGTCTCTACTGGACATCAGACATGATAATATATATATATATATATATATATATATAGTGATAATTTGAGCAAAAAGAATCATTGGGAGGTTTAAATTTTTAAGATTGTAAAGTGTATCTCAGAACTCATGACATGTGAACAGTAAATAAAACAAGTATAGAACAGCTGAACATTATCAGGATCATGCTATTGTTTGCAAGGTAAAGAGCTCCATCTAGTGTTCCAACAATGACCTGCATGTCTGTCAATGACCTTAAAGAAGAGACAAGCAAAACAACCTCACTGTTAAACCTGACAACATATCTGAGGCAACATATCGTAGAATTCTGAAACCTGTTGGACTCGCTTGAGAACCTTTGGCCATCCTTTCAAATAGGGCACATCCGACCATCATTTTGCTACAACTTCCAAAATATATATATATATACTTGTATACTCTTATATAGGCTACAAATATTAATGAGCATATTTAAGGGGAAAAAGATTCTGAAACTGATCTTAAACACAAACACACACTTACTTTTTGTGCAGTTGTAGCAACTCACTGTTTCAGGTTAAATGAAGTTCTAAGTTAACTTATCAACCCATACGTACATCATTCTGTCAGATTCAAGCGGTCGTTTTTCCACCCAGTGGCAATCGAGATAAAAAATGTAATTAAAATAAAAACATCAAGCAATGTTTCTTACCAGGAAATTCATCATTTCTGGGCTCTCTTTTCATATTATCATATTACTGTTATATTATTATGCAATATACTGTATTACTGTGCTGTAACTGTTAGCTTACCGATATCTTACTTTTAAAATTTGAAAATCTTTTTGCAATATTGCATTGTATGTTTGTAAGACCATACATGCTGTAAAAAAATGTACATGACTATTCACTCTTACAGGCAGAGGTTTGCACGAAATATTTGAAATTTCAACAGTTAAGATCAAGAGATAGAAAATAAATTATTATTTGAATAAGAAATTAGAATGAAAACTTTTACCTTTTGAGATAACATAAAGGGTATCATAATCATAATTATCTTCCTGATTGTACATGTAAACCCAGCGAGCTTTTTCTTAAATCAAAAGTAAAAGAGATACATTAAATATGCTAGTGTGTGTTAGTTAGTCGTATAGTATAAGTTTAGAACGTTTTAAGTGTATGTATTAAATAACTTATTGACATTTAAAAAATAATAAAGTTCTACGTATTATTAATCATTTTCAGTTTGTGCTTCACCAAACCAACCTGTTTAAAAAGAAATCTTAAAGTCTGTTTGAAATATATCTTCTATATACCAATGTAACCAAATTATACAAATATGAAATACTATATTCTACATTCTATAGAAATAGTTTATTCAAAAACTGAATGCATTCAAACCTGGAACCAGCAACTGTGAAACATCATTGGTTTTCCTGTGTCTCATCACTGACTGAAGGTCTGTGATGGAGAAATTTGCCTGTAACCAGTCAAATATATTGTAGTCGAGTCTGATAGGCAGTCTTCAGCTGCTATGAGGATGATAAATCTAACCTGAAATACAGGAAAGAAAATGTTACACAGATGTACAATACATATATGTACAATGTAAATGTGTAAGCATCTCGCAAGCATCCAACCTGCTTTATGCAACAGACATTATGTGTAATTAGACATAATTTAATATACTAAAAAGTATATATAAAATACAAAAAAAATGTCAATGAATTGATCTCTGTGTGTGTGTATAGCCCATAAATCAAATTCTGTAATTTAGTCTTGCAACAGTTTAACATAATGATATTTTGGCTGTTTATTTTGATATGCAGTATATAATGTCTAATATGTAAGGCTTTTACAAACAGAAACATTAATCTACCTGAGTAACAGAAAGTAAAAACAAAAGTTTACAAAAGTCAGTTTACAAAATCAAACGATTGGGACACTTTTTGTCACTGAAATGACTTGGAAAAGTGTCCCAATCAACCTGAATTCACTCTACTATTTGAAATCATGATTGCCTTATAATATGTTGTTTTAAACCCCGCATATCTTACTTAACTTCATTATATTTTACTTATAACTTTATTAGAATTCTTCATTAACAATTATTCAGTTATTTGTAATGTTAAATGTAATGATCAAATAAAATAAAATAATAATAATAAAAAAAATTGAAAGTTGTTTCAATGTTGCTAGCTACCTTTTGATAGTAACTTGTAGTGTATAGCTATAGCTACTTTTTCAGAAGGGTAGCTTAAATGTAGCTTAACTACTTTAATTTACGAGTAGCTTGTAGCTGGTCAAGCCACAGTTTCAGAGTAGCTTCCCCAACACTGATATTCAAGTCTG